TGAACGCAGGTGATCCACCTGCCTTGGCCTACCAAAGTACTGGGACTACAGGTGTGGGCCACTGTGCCTGGGAGAGTGTTAGCCACTGTGCCCAACTTTTAATAGGATTTATATACATTTCAGTGAGAGTGCAAAGCACTTACAGCCATAATTAAGATTAATGCTCTAAGAAAAAGCAGAAACCTCTTAGTTTGTAACAGGGGAGAATTAACTCTCTCTTTTTTTCTTCTTTGAGATGTAGTCTCTCTCTTCTTGCCCAGGCTGTAGTGCGGTGGCGCAATTTCGGCTCACTGCAACCTCTGCCTCCTGGGTTCAAGTGATTCTCCTGCCTCAGACTCCCAAGTAGCTGGGATCCCAGGCATGGACCCCCATGCCCAGCAAATTTTTCTTTGTTTGTTTGTATTTTTAGTAGAGATAGGGTTTTGCCATGTTAGCCAGGCTGGTCTCAAACTCCTGACCTCAGATGCTCCACCCACCTTGACCTTCCAAAGTGCTGGGATTACAGACGTGAGACACCACGCCCAGCCTAACTCTATTATTTTTAATTTGTATTTGTCCTTTTACCTGTAAAGAATAACAAAAAAAATCTTCACCCCAGAATACATCTGAAAGATTTTTAAATGGCTATATATAGGCCCGGCCGACAGAAGAGTTCTGCAAAGTTGCCTTTTATGGAAGGAATTTGGATGCCGAGGAAATAAAGTGAAGTAAACAGCAGATGCAAACGGGCTTTCTGTGAAGGCCCCTTGTTTGGGTCCAGGAAAGAGTAACTCATCAGAAAGAGGACTACGTCTGACACCTTTGAAGGTCTGACAGAGAAACTTACCACAGCTACTGTCTGCTTTTTTCTGAGAGTTGCTGCCTGGGAGACATCTGCAGACCAACACCTCCTTTGCCCCATGCCTCTCTTTCTCTCTCCATCCCTAACCTGTTTGGCACCCTCAAACCCCGATTCTGTTTGTGGATGCAGCCTGGTGTGAAAGCCTCATCCGCTGGGCACTGTAGCTCACACCTGTACTCCCAGCACATTGGGATGCAGAGGCTAGTGGATCACCTGAGTTCAGAAGTTCGAGCCCAGCCTGGCCAACATGGTGAAACCCCGTCTCTACGAACTACATCAAAAAAACCAACCAGGCATGGGGATGCACGCCTATAATCCCAGCTACTCAGGAGGCTGAGGCAAGAGAATTGCTTGAACCTGGGAGGCAGAGGTTGCAGTGAGCCGAGATCACGCCACTGCACTCCAGACTGATAGAGTAAGACTCTGTCTCACACAAAAACACAAATAAAAATAATAAAAATAAAAGATTC